TAATGCTTTTAACATGTAAGGACAATGTACAATGTATAAACAATTTATGAAATTTTCAAAGTTAAATTGATTGAAAATAATCAAATATAACACATTTTATCCTTATTTAAAACATAGGGGAATTCAATAATTTTACACAGAATGGAATCTTATGAAAAGAAAGTTTTGGAGCTGAAATAGAGTGTCTAATTTTAAATTCATAGAAAAAGTGGAACACACAACTGTTACCATTACTATTAATTTCTTATGAATGGATTAATCGAATATCGTTCCTCTGTGTTCTGTAGTGGCTTCAACCGCCAAAGTTATGTATAAGATACAATAGTTTTTTATATCAAAATAAATTATATTGCCTTTACAGTTTTAGCATCATAAGAACGCTTTAAATATCAAAAATCAGACATTTAATTTTCTAATGTTGAATCCTATATTAGGGTCTAAATAAAGAGCGTGTCAAAATATAAGACAGTTAGATGATTCTAGTGGAGTGATTTAAGGAACAAATTTGATTTATGCTGACCTGTTCACACTCTATGTGAAAATCAAACTACAGCTGTAACTGTTCATCAAACTTCTAAAATGTCTTTATTATCAAATAAGCTAGATTCAGACATTGTAGATTGATAATTATTTATTTGACATTTCATTTCCTAATTGTTTTCGAATAAATGATTAGCACAAAGCTTTGAATAAAATCTAGGTATACGGTAATTTACCACTTCCTAAATATGTCTTTACAAACAATTCCTGTGCTTTCACATTAATGTCCTAACGAAACATCGAGAAGACATGCATAAATAGAAAAAGATAAAAAAAAATAATAATAAAACAATTTAGTGTATCAATCAAACGATTGTCAAAGATAATGAACTATTATTTAGCACACTCTATTATTATAATTATTTGACAAAACAAAATTTAAAAAAAAATGAAGAAAAAAAGCAAAGTATTCTAGGAAAAAGTGAAATACACGATCAAAGTAAAGTCTTAAGGCGAGTCTCATGATTCATTCTATAATTGCATTAGATACGTTGCCTAAAATTTATATAAAAAAAAGTTCGAATATATAGCATAGAAACTTAGAAGAGATTCTTTAAATATAAATTAACATTTAATAATTAAAAATTACTTTGCTCTTTAGGTATCAGTAATTCAAAATACATAATCATATGAATTAATACAATAATTATAGCAGACATTATAGAAGTAGAGAATATTATACAGCTTTACAGTTCAAAATATATCTAGTATGGCCTACTGAAAAATAAATGACATAATGATCACAAACTTTGTAAAAAGAAATTTGGTTATCATGACAGAAATAAAGTGACATGTTTTAAATCACGTTGTAGATAGTTTTTTAGTTAAGCTGAGTAATGACTTTCATTACGCGCAGGATTATAAATCCACAATGTTGCAATGCACATACAACTTTGAAACCACAAATGGCCAGGAAACGTTATTGTTATGACTACAGAGATGGATGTCTGGATATTCGAATCACTAAGCACATAAAATTCACAATGTTTTATATAAAAACCTTTAGGCTAATGTACAGAGTTTACTAATTACTTAAGGATATATTAGTATAGTACTGAATATTAACAGGTGTTCATTGTATTCATTACCATGAAAGTAACAACACAGTGGTGAACAATTATCTTATAGTGTAAGAACAACCATACTACAATTTGAAACGCACAAAAAAGAAAACCGGAAGTGATAAGATAGATGCGTAAAACCAGGAATAAATACCAGCAAACCTGCAAACAGATTTAAAAAGTGTTTCTCGTGTGGAATGAAACATTCGGGATTTTTACTTTGTGAAAATAGCAATAATTATTCGAAGTAAGGAAAACTACATTTATATACTGAATGCATATGATGACTTTCCAAACAGTTTTCACCAGTAAGTTAAAGGATATTGAAGGAGAAATATTATAATGAATTTAGATTTAATCTATTTGCTACATTTTCATATGAAAATGAAGTTTAGATATAAATCATTTGCAATACTATCATATTGAGGACATAAGTCCATTTACATTCATTCTTAGGAATAAATAATGGTCACAATAAATATTGAATGACATTGTATGTTACAAAATTAATAAATCTATAACTGACCCGATAATTCAATGAAACTAAGTATTTAGAAAAATAAATCCCAATTGGATTTTTTTTTATATTAGACTATCCATCTTTTACCTAGAACTTTATTGTATCTTGCTTCTTGCGAATTATTACAAGTCTAAAGCTAATGTACCTTAAAGCCCATTTAAAAAAAATAAGATAAGCATTTTTAAAATGTTTCTTTAGATTACAAAGAAGAAAGGACAAACCAAAGTCCAAGAACGTTTCAAACACATTAACAAGTCCTTTTTTCTGAAGAAAACTTTCTTTGATTCCGTCGTTTTTGAGAAGAAAGCAAATCTCCAAATTCTGCTGAAAATGTGGAACCAAGATGAAAGTCCGTGCTAAAAAGACATGAAGCTTTATTTCCATGTTCACCAGGGTACACTGTCAACAAACCAGCACCAGTTCGTTACCAAATATGTGAAGATAACGAACAGTGATCGATCCAAAAAACCTACAAACAATACAAATCTGTAAACAGGGCATAAAACACAGACCCCTGGAAATTCCACAGGTGGCATTAGGTGCCTAAACCTGTAGACCGGTCACACCCACCTTGAGGCCTATGTATTGATCAAGTAGACGGAATAATCCTAGTCAAATTTAGTACAAAAACAAAGACCTAATAACTGCTATGAAATACGTCAGTCAAAATACCACCCAATGATAGGTTTTATTTCCTCACAAGGTCATTATAACAGCCATGGAATTTATCAAATGTCGACTTTAAACGAGGTTGTGAAATCCCTGTAGCTTCAATTTACCTGTTATTAAAAACTGATCGTACCCAGAGAATGTTCTTGAATATTGAATAAGTTGGGAGACATAAACACCATATGTAGATGATAGTGGAATATTACTTCATAAATAAGGAAAGCTGACGATGGAAAAGCTGAAGTCGATTATACCGTTTGTCCTACAGTTGTTAATTAGTTCTTGTCATTAGTTAGTAAAACATCCAAATATGAAACAGATGTTGCAGACTCTATGCTGTCCTTTATTTCGAGTAAACTGGATATATCGAGTCGACTTATGAATGGAAGCAACTATTTTCAATTGATAAAACGTCGTCGATATATCTGAATCTCAAGTTGAAATACAATATAATAAGATCAAAGCTATAGGGAAAAGAAATGATGAAGCTTTCAAGTGAAAAAGACTTTCAGACTGGAGGTTCTAAATGCTACATTAATTTAATTTCTTTTTCTTTGATTTATTTGTAATATGTATTACATATATAGAGAGATTTTCCGAGATCGTTTCTGAATAGATGACCTTTACAAAGAGCCAAAATCCAGGCTGCAGATGTCAAAATGAGCATTGCATTCAATGTGAATAATCTTAAGGAATGATGCTCCCAGACAGATTTTAATGTTTGACAAATTCATATAAAAGAATATTTTGAAAATATCTTACCATCAAAAGAAGAAAAAAACATTTTTACAAACAAGAACAAGGAATTTCCCTAAATATTCAAAAGCATTTGTTGACGTGGTGTCAGCTTCACTTGAATGCTTATAAATAATATTTCCTTTCTTTAAATTGTTAAGAAATCATTTTCTATTTTTCTCTTTATTAATATTCTTTTTTATATCTTTTTTTTATTTTCTAGATTTTACAAAAGCAAAGATTATCACCAACCACAAAGATCGTCACAAAAACTTACTGTTATTGCATAATGGGAAAAGGTATCGTTATTGTATGGAATTGAATTTTCCAGATAAACGGTTCAATTATCATGATGATTATCAGGGGGATATTATAATGGTACACTTTGTAAACTTTTATCCCTACTGCCTTTATATTTAAAATAACGATAACTGAGTTTAAAAAAACAAAAAAACAAACAAACAAACAAACAAAAATTAATAAAAAAAAAAAGAAAAAAAAGTTTGAGATAGTTGTTCCTTTTTAAGCACTTCTAAAACAAAACCAAAGAAAAAAAACAAACGAAACAAAAATTAAGAAATTTTTACAGTGCAACAAGAACTGTAAATATATCAGGATACTCTGAACATTTTAATTTAAATGCTAGTGTGTGTTAGCTTGAGAAAGTTTCTACTTAATACATTATAAGCAAGTTATGGATGTCTATAGTTGTGCATGTTATGCTCTAGCTTCACACAATCAATGTAGATGCATTGCATATTATATAATCGTATTGCAGATATTTGCAAATTTCCCGAAATAGGTGAAATAACCAATTTCTACCACTGTGATAAAAGCAATATAAAATTTTCTTGCATTTCATCATCTCAAAATCATTTATTAAGCTAATAGTAAAGTGTTTCAATGTGTATTTGGGAAAATGAATAGAACCAATAATCTTGCAAGATGAATGACATTGTTTTTAATATTTAATTAGGTGATATGTAAATATTTTTTTTTAGAAATGGAATTTGATTTTTTTTTTTCATAACTTTTCATATGGGAAGGAATTAGACATTAAAATTCATTTTGATATTAAAACTAGATCAGTGGGACAATAGAACATTTTATTATTCGTTTTCTCTAATATAGAAGGATTCTTTGTAACAAAATGTTGTTTAATCATTAGAAAAATTAAGTCTTTCTATGCATTTATGAATTTTTAAAACAATATCTTATTCGTTGAAAAAAAAGATTAGGTAAATGCTACAGCATAATCCAAAGTTTAACAAATAGAAACACTTCAATAATATTTTTTATGTCAATTATATCGCTCAGGTAAATTTAGCTACGACATCACGAAAATTCCCACATATGCTAATGACCTGTCACGTGATAAGTAATATATTTAGCATTTTGCCAATATATGCTGTACTTAAGCTGTTTGGTATCTTCAAGAAACTCCATTGTGAAATTAACGACTTAAGAAGAAATATGTCATATAGCAAAAACGATTACTGATAAATTTGGAAACGTAACTTCAAAATTAAAAAAAAGGGTCGGAAGAATCACTGAAGTTTTTTAATATCGAAAAGATTTAATTGACTTACGACTAAAATCTTTTAAATTGAGTTTCTCACGGATTCACTATGCCGTCTTTATATTTTTATTCAAAATGTGCTATATTTATATTTTGTTCTATATTTGGAGAAATTATTGCAGATGGTAAGTTGAACAAGGATTATGAAGAAGACTTTATTAATTCTTTGCTTTACCAAAAAAGTAAAAGCCTCATTATATATCTTATTTGTTTTAATTTCAGAAAGCGATCCTTCAGATATCGTTATCATTGAAGAACTAGAATCCGAGACAGAAATCCAGAAAGCAGGAGAAATGCCGTCAGCTCTGGGATTTAACGTCCGTCTTGTTCATGGCGAGTCCCCTGTTCATCTGAAACTGAAGAGAAATCCCATAGGATATGAAAGACAAAAAATGGTCTCTATTCGTCAGAATGCCACTACTGGAGAGATCTATTTCAAGGAAGAAAACATACCACCATTAAAGGTAAAGTATTCATCTATTTTCCATTAAAATACATGTATACTGTTTCAGGTAAAATGGAGAGCAAAATTTAATGCTTAATAAAAATGAGAAGATTTTTACCTGAAAAACTCTGCATATATCATATTTACATTTATTTAAGTTGCCTGTTTCACATTCATTGTTCACTAATACTAAAAGTGCATCATCAGATATCCGAACTGTTTCTAAAATTTATCGAACAAAACTTCGAATTCAATTTACGTGATGGAATGCACTATTAAGAGATGTTTTCTTTTTTTATTGGGTGGGTGGGGGTGGGTTGGTTGGAGTGGGCTTTTCCAAATCATTTCACCATCGTCATTTCGGGGCGGGTGCGTTCTTTTCTATTTTTTACTGCAACAAGGAAATTTACAGCACTGTAATTTTAACAATTTACTTGTATATGTTGCGTGTGTCACGTTTCAATGCGCACCTGCCGCAAATGACATTGTTCTTGCAGTCTTACACCACTTAAGAGTAAGCATTAATCAGAGAATATTATTTAAAAGATAGGTCATAAAGTTTTCCTATTTTTGAAGATATCTTATTTTGACAAAATGAAATAAACCAGTTTTATGATATATTTAGGACTTAAACATATAATTAATCTAATTTTCGTTTAAAGCTTTTGTGTCTTCGAACAATTGTTTCGAACAATTTTGACTTTCAAAACCATTTTTCAATTTTCTTAAACTTTGACATAGATAATGTTTAAGTTATACCATTGAAAACCAAACCCCATTATACTGGGTTTTGCCCTCTAGATGATTGATCGATATGTCACTACGATTTATGCTTTTGGAATCAAATGTCAATCGAAGAAGTGAATCATAATTTTAATGAATCGACAACAATCACTTTCTTTCAAGCTAGCCCTAATTGTTTAATGGCAAGATAATTTTGTTACTTGTTAAACTGAATCACAGAGGTTAACCACACGACAATTAACAGTGCTGAACAATTATGTTCCTTGCATTATGCATGAACCTGATAACCTCAATTAATTAATTTTCTATATTTATACCAAAAAATTAATTTAGTAAACTGGTCCTCCCTTTGCTACAATCTTGATATGCTAGAAACATTAAGAATATAGAGTGTATAAAATATATGCATTAAATGAATTGGAAGATTTTGATATTTAGGTGTGCTAGAGACCATTGTCTTTGAAATTGAGTTATGCATGCAAAAAATCAGAATTCAAATATTTCTCTTTGACTACACTCAGTTAATTACTTTTTTGAAGATATTTTTTATTTTTGAAGCTAGCATTTTTTGCGTATCTATTAAATAACATTTGAATTACTGGTTTAATTGGCTAGTCAGTCAATTATTGATGTCATGTCATTTGAAATATTATTATATTGTCTATAAATCTCTGGATGTTGTGCTTATACACGTGGTGTGCATAAGTTATTTTCAAGCTGTCTGATTTCATTTAAATCTAAATTCGCTGAGGTTAATGCAAAAGAGGATATATGTTAAAGTTGAAGATAACGAACACTGATCAATCTAACAAGACAAAATTATGATCTTTTCCCCTAGATATATTATCTTTATATAGTCCTCCATGATTTAACATGTCCAGGAAAACAATTAAGATGACTTACTAGACACCATCCAAATAAATGTCACATGAAAGGCAGATAATGTACCTTAAAATTGTTTTAAAAAGGACTATTATTCTAATGTCACATAATTTAAATTCAAGCTTAAAATGTCATTTGTTTAATTACAGAACGTGGCACTCTACCAGGATAACGAAACACAAGCTGCATTTACAGTAACCTGTGGAGAAGACTCAGAAGGACACTGTATTTTGGTAATGTCATCAATGACGAAACGTAATCACGCTTAGCAAATGTCTAAAAACTTTCATAAAATACAAAAAAATTGACAGGTGTTAAATCATGTGCTTTCTCCAATTTTAGATTGGAAGTTTGAATGTGAATGGCGAAGAGTACGATATAACACCTATGGAGAAAAATCCTGGAACAAGAAGAAAAAAGAGACGTGCTAGACGATATGGTGAATCAAGGCAATTGCGCAATAGTGTGTTCAGAGAATATCATAATCCTTACACCCAAGTCAACAATAACAATCTTGTCCACCCCACTCAAAATGTCCATTACAATCGCCACGCCCAACCTAATGAAAACGTTCATCACAATCCCTATGTTCAATCAAATCAACCAGTCAGAGAAACTATCCAGCAGGATTTTAATCCATTTGCAACCAATCAAATTGATTATGATCTAGAAAAGCGATTACTTGAATATCCTGGAGAACCAGTTGTACATGGTGCAGCTGGGGAATTTCAAGGAAATGAGATATATCCACCTACCCCGCCACCAAAACGGAGACAGCTGTATGCAGCTTTTAGGAAAGATCCCAAGAAAGGAATCAAAGGAGACTGTGTCGGACGAAGTACGTCTGTCATCAATTTAAGAATACTTTGATATCCTGTTAAAACAAAAAATAAACTCCTAAGGAAATGAATTATCGAGATCTTGTCAATTTGTTGAAGGTATTTTCAAAGATGATATTCTGTTCGGAGTTTTGCAAATAAAAAAAATTGAAGTATATTAACATGATGATATCTTATTTTAGATCCCATTTTAAAAGACGTTCCATTTCAAACACTTGCCCGACGAGAAAAACAAAGGGAAGCAACATTCGCTCAGGGGGGTTTCAATCAACAAGTCGCTCAACACAAGCGTAATAATGCACGAGAGGCTTTCAGAACATTCACAGGAGCTGCACGTGACTACTATATAACGCTAGTAGTGGTGGTTGACTATAGTATCTATATGAGGTAGGATTGAATTTTATCACATACGCCTTGATAAATTCATACTAATTGTGAAATTTAAGAAGAATTTTGTATAAAATGTTAAGCAAGACTTAACTTCTATTAATGCTTTGCAATAGATTTTACAATGCAAGTACAGAGAGGAATGTCAGAGCAAGAGATAGAGATGCCAAGTCTAAGATCAGAATGTACTTTGCTCACATTGTGAACGGGGTAAGGTTAAAATTATTTACATTTCTTAAATGTTGTTATTGCTTAAGGTATATCTATCTTAATCAAAAAAGTATTCACTGATATATATTCGTCTTAATTACAGATTGACCTTCGTTATGAGAACATCAGAGATCCTACTTTTGCTGTCAAGGTTGCAGTAACAGAGTATGTTATTGCTGATGTAAGTTTTTCTTACCTTTTCTGAATAGATAAAAAATTATGGTTTTATGAATGCAATTATTAAAGTTTGATTGTTGATTGTAGCATCCTAACTTCTCCCCTTGGACAAACACCTATGTTAACCCTGAGTACAAATATGTAGCAGTTTGGGATGCCCTCAACAAATTGGTTGACTGGAGAGAGACGATGTTTAAACACCTTCCTCCCCACGACCATCTGATGTTATTTACCGGGTATTTATATTAAATATTTATATAAAAAAAAATATCTCCCAGGCATGTCGACATATATTCTCATATATAATTTTAAATAATAAATTAATAGCTCTTTCCTACCGTAGTGAATAATAAAAACCGCTGTTTATCATTTACAAGAATATCTGTCTATTTTGCATCAAATTAGAAGACTTGACACACTAAACATTAAAATGTATTTAACATTTTTATTTCCTGCTTTTTCAGAGAAGATTTATATGAAACACGATCTGATGATGCAACGGTGACAGGTGGGGCATTTACATCTTTCATTTAGCCTATTTAGATTTATAGTTTTAAGAATAATTGAACTTGCATTTGAAATTCCTTTGATGTCTAGCAAAACGTGAAAAGTTCTTCTGCCAAATACAGATCTTTAAGTCTTTAGAAAAGCAAGAAGTAAAACTGTATATTGCTAACCTTAAAGAAATTATGTTTTTTTATGTACAGGATATGCCCATGTCCGCACTGTATGCACAAAGAAAAGTGCCTCTATCAATGAAGATCACGGAGGATTTGGAGGGATCATAACGGCTACCCATGAACTGGCTCACAGGTATAGCGCATTTACTTTGAGAAGATACATGATCATTAATTATGCTCATGTGTTCAATTTTATACGTCAAAGTGAGCAGTCATGCTTTAAATTGAAAATTGCTTAAAAATTAATATGTCAACTTGTTCAAGACGAATTTTTTAACTTCCTAATTACGATAATCGTATTCTTCTATTAAAAATCTGATAGATCAATCATTTTTCCATATGTCATATAGATCCTTTTTAAATTATTCATTCTTTTGAAGTATATAATTGACTTATATATTGTAATTACACAATGGAGCTATTGTTCTCTGACAGTTTGGGTGCTAATCATGATGGAGAACAGAACCATTGTCGACCAGAAGATCAGTACATAATGACAGCAATGGGAGGAGACACCAACCAGGCCACAAAACTCAACCCATGGAAGTTTTCTGAATGCTCTGTGGAATACTTCAGAGACTATATTGAAGAGCTGTACGTCTTAAACTAAATGCTACCCATCTGGTTTAATGTAAAGTTATAATGAAGAAAGATTTTTTGATACTTGATAAAGTGTCATCTAAGTCCTCTCGATGTGGTAGAATCATTTTAAAAATAAGTGTCTAAAACCCTTTGCTGCTTTTATATTTAAAACCTCAATATGTTTGAACAGACAAATTCTCCAAAAAATTTAAAAAATATTTGAGATTTGATATTTTAAAATTCTGTGATTAGTTTTACGTCTCACTTTTTTATAATATATTTATATTCCCTCCTTATTTAAGTTCTATTTGTATCCTATTTGGAAAATCTTTTGCGATATAAATATCAATTTATCCATCATCCAACATCAATGGAAAGCTAAAATAAATGCCCCCAAAAAGTGCTCTCCAATTTAAAAATATTTAAATTACGAAACTCTTAAAAGGTCATCATTCATATCACATTTTGGTATACTTCGCCTTAATATAATGATAATTTGTCATTCTGTCAGCTGAGAAAGTTATCAATTGCCCTTCGATACACCGTTCAATATACTAGCATAATTTGCAAACCACGAAATCATGGGCGGATAATAAATTTTCATGACGGATGGATCACGAAATTCTGAATGGCATTAGAAAAAAGAAACACAATTTACAAGATGCAAATAAGATTTTCTTTGAATTTGAAAAACAAGAAATAAATATTGCATATTTGAAAGTACACTGTAGAAAAAGTTAAGTAACTTTACATATTTGTTAATATTTTTTTTATTGTAATCTTAACAGGAATAACAAAAGAGAAAACTGTATGCTCGAAAAACCTATGGACATCGATCCAAACTTTCATGAAGTTATTAAAGAAATGCCTGGTCAACTCCTAGGACCTAATGAACAGTGCAAAGAGAAACTTGGTCAGGGATCTTATTATGGATGGGTACGTTTTCTGAAAGAGTAGTGAATGTTGTATTTAATATGAAAAAATATATATCATACTAATTTACATAAAACAATGTTATTTTATAATAGGCTGGTGGTCTTGGAAGATATCAAGACATTTGTACCAATATGGCTTGCAAAAACCCCAAAAAGAAAGTGAGCTTCCATCTTTACAACGCAGCACGAGGAACATCGTGTGGAAACAAAAAGGTAATTTGTTAGTAATACGACAGAGTAAAATATATCAATTTAATAAAGTTAAATTTTTATACAAGGAAAATTGGTTATGTAAAATACTTTGGATTTATTTTCAGTGGTGTATTAATGGAGAATGTGTGTTTGACAGAAAAGCACCAGAAAAAGACGGTGAGTACAATTTACACGTTTTTTGTTTGAATAATATTGAATGCAGTTGTTCAGATATTTTTATTCCTTGCTTTAATTTCTTTTTAGATAAATGTGTACATGGAGATTCTTTGAAGCCATTTCCAAACAATGCTACTTGCAGTCAACTTATAAATGGTAGACCTTCTAGATGCTACACAAAAGAATATAGAGAATTTTGTTGTGAATCTTGCAGTAAGAAATTCACCGGGAAGAAGCGTAAGTGTCACTTATGTAAGACAAAAATTAATTAATTTAAAATATTGTTTTACTCTTTGTCAAGTGTATTTTATTATCAATCACTTTGTATCATTGATTTATAGGTTGTGAATATGGGGACAAAATAGCGTCGTGTGTTTTAGTCAAGTCACGGCCTTATCTGTGCTATGATAAGAAAAATAGCCAGCTTTGTTGTATTGGATGTGCAGGTCTACATACTGGAATACAAGGTACATATTCTTTAGAAAAGCACGTTAATTTGATATAAACAGTAACAAATATATAAGAGCGAATCTTAATAAAAATTCATACATATTCATAGGATGCGAATATGGCGATCGTAAGTCAGGATGTGACAAACGACTGTGTCACACTCGAGATCATCAGTTGAACTGCTGTCAAACTTGTGGTAAGGGAAATCGAACCACAAAATCAACAACTGTACGTGCACAGCCATCTCCAATACCAACTAGACCTGAGCTCAAGCCAACTCCCAGACATATAACAAGACAGAGAACCCAACCAGAACCAACAAGACAGACTAGAAATTTCAGACCTGCTCAGCACGTCAACAGACACTCAATCCTTCCCACTACAACCCATATGATTCCATTTTCTTCTACAAGATTTAGTTTGAAGATCGGAGGAAACAAACAAGAGGGTGTCCCATCTCAAAATAAACAAGAGGGGATCGCAGGAGCACCTCAAGATATCGTTCCAACAGAGGATTTGATCCCAGATCCTTTTGCACCAGGATTCTGTGTAAAGAAAAATGCATTTTATAGACCTGACGTTCCTTGCGAATTTTTATCCAAATGGTTGTCGTTATGTACAGAGACAAGATTCAAAAGTGCATGTTGCCAGACATGTAATATTGATCGATCCAAAAGTGTGAAAAGTAAGCTTCTTTTATGAGTACATCTTAATCTTTTCCGTGTATTTTTGTTATTTTGTAACTACGATTATCAATAAATGGAATATTTATGTAGAAAATGAAAGTTGGATTGAAACTTTGATATTCTTATGAATGTGCTCCTTTCTGTCAGCAAAATGATATCAAAGATAGCTTTGGGAAAGAAGAATTATTCGAACTCCTTTGCACTCAAACTGTATTATACATCAATACATAACAAGATAAATGAAGCAACACATCTATTCGTTTTTTAATTTTATTCACTTAAATAGAAAAAAATATCGAAACATCCTTTAATATTCTTCAAACTCATTATTGTTTACAAAACATTTAACATCAACATCATTAAAGCACTGAAATATTATTACTAACTGACAAATTTCATTGCCTTAAACGCTTAGCAAAACTAACATATTGATACTAGTATATTTCTTTATTTCATTTTAAATAAAACAAGTAATAATGAAAGATATGTATATTCATATATGTATTTTATTTCTATATTTATTTAATCGGAATGCTTGTGTTTGTTGCAGCTGGGTGTGTGGACAGTCAATTTTGCACTGCACGAACAGGAGCAGATTGCTACAAGAAAGCAACGAGAGACAACTGCTGTGCCACTTGCAGCAAGTTTGAAACTGGATTCATGTGTAAGTATTTATAAGTCACAAAAATCTTACCAATCGCTTGTATCCTCCAGCCACTTTGTTTTAAGCCTCTCCCAAGTTTGTTTTCAGTTTGCATTATAATTTATTTATTTATTCATTTTAGTGTGTCCATATGGAGATAAAGACGCTAGATGTGGTCTTATGATGAGGCTGAATAAGAAATTTTATTGTGAAAATTACGGGTCCACATGTTGTGAATCCTGTTTCAAACTCTCTCGTCGACAAGAAGTTACTACGCCATTTCCTATTGTAATAAGTGCGCGTAGACCAGACTCAACAGCTTCAAGAAGCAGAAGTCAAACTCACTCTCGATCAGAACCAAGAGCCGCTGCATCAAGGAGTGCTACCTCATCAACTAACAACCTTGAAAGAGTGAGAGCAAATTTAAAACGATTCGTAACATTCATTAATCAAATTTTCTCAAAAAGCAAGAGTATAGGATGAGGGAAAGTCTTTATTACTTTTGTTTTTGCTCTTTGGTTAGATTTAATTTTGATGTCAGAGTGTTTGTCCCATGTTTCTGTTTACTTTCTTAACTGGGACCGGTTTCTTGGATAGAAATGATGCATTGTTCGTTACAATCTGAAAGAACGAAGTTGAATTATGGGGATGCTGTATGCTTGACGTCATTATTCAGTGACGTTTTTCTCCTGATTATAGAAAGGTGTGTTTTAGATGATGTTCTGCTTATTGCATTTGGTAGATATTAGATTTACCTCTCAGAAAGATGCAATTTGTTCCTGTACCATTGGTCCGCCATTTTCCTCCATAGTCCCATTGAATTGATTTGTACTTTCTAAGATATTTTGTGATTGTTTCAATGTGTTCAATACCTGTCTTTCGGAGTCTGATATCTTTTCTGCATAACTTTTCAAGTGTTCATTTTGTAAATTTTGACCCTTTACATCTTTCAACCTTATATCCATTTCTTTTAAAGTTTCTGATAAATGCAATTGTTTAATTTGTCTTCAGATATGTATGTTTTAGGATTGTATATTAATTGACAAACCAGTATGCGCTAATGAATTATTCGATTTATTTCAGAGCTAGACTATGTGGACTTGTAAGATTTATCTTTCTTCATTGTATCAACCGTAGTTAAATAGTATTTATTTCAAATTTTGTTGCCTTCATTTGTTTCGTTGATCTTGTTTTTTTTTATTCAGTTTGATTACCTTATTTATTTTATTGTCATATTTATGCGTATTATTGTTCCCTATTTGTTTTACATACAATAAAAATTAACTGTATCAATTGCCTCATGTATATTGTATTGTCATTAATTTGTTCGTCTGTTTTGATATATTTGAAAAAGCGACAGTTGGGGTGGGGGGTGTGGTTGGGTTATGAAAATACTTTTACCTTCAAAACATTCAGTTACAAATACAACATTTTGCATATTGTAGATATTTAGATGAATTGGAAATACTTATCGGAAACTTTTTTTTTTAATTTACCCCCTGGTGAAGTTGCATGTGCATGGATTTTATGCATGTCACGTTTCTATGTTGTTTAAACCCTTTTTTGACAAATTGGTATTTTAATTAGAATTCGCAGGCATGGGAAGAACAGCGTTCCCCTCATTAATCAAAAACCAAACATTCATGAATTTATAAATATCTAACTTAAATACAGTAAGAAAATGGGCAAACTAGAATATACCTATGAATTTCCAGTTTAAAGTAGATCCTCGAAGATAAAGCTTCAATACGTTGACATTGTTCAATGCATGCTCTATGTTTTTGTCGTAAATTCTGTTTTTATTTTGATGTGTGATAAAAAACAGGTGAAAACAGATGTTACTTTGCTAATTATCCTTCTATATAATCATGATATGAATAATACATTTTGGATATAACTTGAGAAATTTGATTATATTTAAAATATATAACGTGATAGTGCTTAACTTGGCATGGTTAATATAAATCTATATTTTGTTAAAAGGTACAGTAATCTTTTTTTTTTTTTTTTTTTTTTTTTTTTTACAAATTTAATGAATTGATATAACAGTGATGCATATTATAAGAAACTGACTGATGATACTAAATATGCAAATTGTAATACATAATACATATTGTTGTAATAAAATTTGACAAAAGTAGACTCATTTTTGTCCATAATAATTGGAAGCATTTTATGAAATCCCTCCGGCGCTTTTATAGCCCGTGAGAAGAAAACATAATATATCAGACTGTGGTTTCATATTTCGAAAACCATGCAAGATATATTCGCAAGATTCTTTCCAACGACATAAACACTCTTATCTGCTACCGCGTATTCTCTGTACATGCAATTGTTATCAATTCAATTCGATATGCATACTTGAATAAAGTACAACTTATCCAATTTTACTTCATTTTATCTATTGATATATCTTTCTTCGATAAACTTTACCTGATATTATTTAAGAAACATGTGTTTGATGAATTGTAAAGCAATATTTAGAATAGAATTGTTCATATCTTTGTCACATTTAGCTTGATGCCACAAACAAATATTTGCAAAAAGTTCATTCATATAAATCCAAAAGAGTAACTTATCTCTTCCGTTTGATACATTGCTCACACACATATCTCAAATACGAGATTTTTAGGTATTGGTTATATACTATCGTGATCAACCTAGCATACAATTTTTAGTCAAACTTAATTTTTTCAATTTGCTACCGAGATATCCTCTTCCATAGATAAAACTGCAGACCACCTGAAATTTAGAAAATGGAAAAAAAATTAATCACTTAAAGATTAAAAAACCAATCTCAATATCCTGGATTTAAATCATACTTAAGTAAAGATTATTATACAAAATCAGTATTGTTTCCAACAAAAATCATATATTTCTATTGTTTTTCCTTTTCTGTGATTTCAAAGGCTATCTATAAATAAAATGCTTATTAAATTGATATTTTCATACACAAATGATAATTCAATATTTATTGCAATATTGATTCAGTAAAAAAAATATATATGCTCGGTTAATGAAATTTTTGGTCCCATATGTAAACAAACCTTTGTAAACAGAATGGAAAACAGATTATTTGATATCGCATCACATTTTTTTTTACATATTGTGCATGCATGCCGGTTGAAAGAAACTAGCATACCAAATGAAAACATCACCATTTCATTCATGATATTCAATTTAGTAAAAACTTTATCCATCTAAATCCTTCAATAACGCATATGCATTGTATTTACGAGGTCTTGGCAATCTCTAAATCTTTTCCAACTTCTCTCATTTATTGGAGAATGCACGTAGGACCAGAAAACAACTTTAAGCGTCAATCCCAGAATATACCACGTCATAATATGTTTCTTGTTTAGAGTTTCAGATGTCCCTCTTTTTGGCCAAATTCATCCATACCTTCCACATTGCCCGCCTTGTAAAAGGGTCTGAATTAACCATGAACAAAACATCAAACTTCATCAAAGTTCATTGAAATTGAGTCTGATACATTTGCAGTTTACCCATATAATTGGATTTTTTTTTCTGTGTGCAACAACTCAGTTGAACGTTTCTTAACCACAGATAAGAAGGGGACATTGCTCAGTTCATGTTTTGCCAAACTTGTTACTGGTGTGTTATATTTCTTGTCTCAATAAGGTGTTCAAATTCATACAGCGTCAATAGAATGTTTCAAGACATGAAAAGAAAACAGGGAACATGCTCTAAAACCTATTTCTTTATCATTTGATTTGTATCAAGAAAATAATAGATGGCTTGATATTAAGAAATAATATGTGGCATTAACATTTATAAAATTGATTAAGTTTCTATATTACGTGTACTACAATATACCTCGTTTTTAAAACAATTTAAGTTACTGTCTAGAGAAACCTTTAAGCATAAAAAAGTAGGGGTAATCGTGCATTTCAGAAGTAAAAAAAAAATGCAATTTTCCATTATGAATAAGTAGATAGATTGTTCATCTGAATGTCTTTCAGACGAAAAATAATTGAACTATTAAAAGTGCATGCCTTAATGTGTAAACTTGTAAACTTAATCAACATTGATTTGCAGTTTATCTATCGATGATTGAATAAATTATAATAGATTAGATAAAAATCGTTATTTTTGTGTTTTTCAATAGTGAAGAGTTACGTGATATTTATGCCACCAATGAAGACAAAATGTTATCTTCCATTTTTATTAGATTTGTGTTGTTATCTCCTATGTCAAATGATACAATTGGTTATTTGAAGAAACACATAGTTCGATAATATGCTGGATGAAACTGTAATCCTCAGGAACAGAATACAATTTTGGTCTCCCAGTTTTATTGATATGATGAGAAGACTACATCCTTTATCTCAAAAGCACTGGGGACACTAACAAGTATCTCTGGTAAATTCCAAATGAATACCAACTTTTGTTGTTTAAGTACTGAAGACTTATATGCTCTCGAGTGCGCATGCTAATTTGCATCTTATTATAAATAAGCACAAGTATGCAATATGCTATAAAATAATGAAAATATGTTATAATATAATGAAAAATATAATAAAAACAAAATCAAAATTGAAAAAATATTGTTTACACCATTTAGGTTTATAGGATAACCCCCTATCCTCACAATACATGTAATTGCTTGAATTATGCATAAAATAGTTTCCATACATCAATTATCTTAACCATTAATGTCGGTATCGAGATATTTTTGTGCACTCTTTGCACAGATAGAGTTCAATTTTGCTAACTCATGTCTCATGCACCAAAACAACTGTCTTGTGATACAGTGCGTATTGTTACCTTAATTCCACTCCCCGATTCAGAAATAGAATGATCTTAATGAAAAGGCATCTCTGAATTTTCTTTGCCAAGGACTTATGTCCACGTGCTTTCAGAACACGACACTTTTTGAAGATAAACTAAGACTCTTGAAGCTATGTCCAAACTTTACAAGAAAGGGTAAGGAGACAATTTTATTGTTTTCCAAAATACATACGAGACACCTGACACGTGTTCGGAGAATTTTTGTTACGTTATGTTACATAGAACGAATAAATATTTTAATATCTAAAGCAATTATTCATTTTATAAGGTTTAGACTATAAAAAAAACTTTTTGGCAACCCAATCCTTGATCAACAATCGCATTGTCACGCCTCACAAATTAAATAAGACTTATTTATCTGTCAGATTATATTTGTAACCTTCATCCTTTGAATGGGTCAAGGTCGATCACATGACATAAATGCAATTAACAGTAACATTTGAAGGATGCTAAAATAAAATACAATCCATTTAGTTCTCTGAAGGACATGTGTATTGGAAAATGAAAACATCCGATGAACGTAAAGGCAACTGCCAAAGAGGAGAACTATAGTAAACACACTTTTATCCTGAAGAAGAGGAAACGTTTCTTTAAACATTGATTGCTTTTTTGATACATAAAACTGTCAAGAATGTGACACATTTCAATCATTTTGCTCCCAAAAATATAGCCTCGTGTTGATGTCTCCAACTTACAATTACAAAAATGTCATCCTGCCCTCCTGTATTTCTGACAGCTTCATCTTTTCATGAATAAAAATTAAACAAATTTATATCACAACTGTAATAGGTAAAAAGATTTTGAAAGTTACAAAAACCTTTAATAATTAAATACAATTCTATACAAAGTTTAAATCGCACCATTCATTGCACAAAACTCAAAAAATATACATTTTAGATAAAGTTGATGAAAAAAAAGCTACAATGCAAAACAAATAAAATCAAATATAATTAAATAACTGCTTACAGTAAAATTCATTCGATTCGTAACAGAATCAGCTAGCTTTGATGACATTTACTAAATAATACAATCGAGATGATGATTCGTAAATCAATAAATGTACAGTAACTTTTATCAGTTTGAATGGTAACAATTTTGTTTACTTTGGCATATTTTTTTTTTAGTTTCAGATATGATATTTGATTGTTAAAAACGATTTTAAACCGTTCATATATATCTATTGCTATACACTGTAAACGTATTTCATTTGGCTGTGTATTCTTTTTTAGCGCCTTTGGCGGAAAGCAACTTCCGCTTATTCAGGTACAACGCTAAATGTATTGCACACGTAGACATAAACACATAATAAGAAATGCGCTAAATCAAATGTTTAAAAATCAATTTCTGCCAAATATTGTACACGCTAAATATAATACATTTACAGTATCCTAGATGAATTTGATAGGTGTTAGAAAGTTTACTTACCCAGCTCTCACTAGATTTTATTCACTGTCGTGTCTTGCTTGTCAACACATTCTGACTCTTCGTTAGCAACTCTTCACTGGAATGTTAATTTTATCCTGAAATATACTTACTCTACATGTGTCATAAATTTAGACATTCGTAGGCAGTAATTTGTTTCTCTGGAAATCTTATGATGGTCATGTGAATAATTCATCACCAGACTTATAAAAACTGGAAAGCATTGCAAAGGTGTTTCACTTAAGTCAGGAAATGAATTTTGCAAAGCGTTTCAGACGTCAATATTTTTATGTATTCCATAGTTTCCCTTATTTTTTTTTTTCGCGTGTTTCGGAAGTAAATTACATTCTTTATCAAGGTGTAAACTCTTTTCTGTGGAATTTTTCAACCCAAATGCATATGATTGATGCTCTGTTACAGAAATATTTGTTTAATTTATGATTAAAAGCAGCGTCTCTTGGTCTAAAACACATCTCCGTTTTTCCACTCCTAGGTACGGTCTGTCATTTGGAAGATATGCAAGATATATTTTTGCAACACCGTGCTAATATTAATACTGAGATTCTGGCTTTCTTTCTTTTCAGCAAGAAACACATCAATGGATGAAAAGAAACATTTTATTTTATCAACCACACCTCAACAATGCTCCCCGATATCGTTATTTCAGGATGATATCTGAGTCGGAATATTGAAGAGTTTTCATATTTACGAGTTTATTCATGAGAAATTTAATATCAAAGAATATAGGCACACAGACTCTTCTTAATTACATGTAGTTTGTTTATAGAAATAAAAAAAGCAATTGAGGGATAGGTTCACTTTAAGCCTTTATAAACTCAATGGAGAAGTGATTAGTTAAATTTTAATGTCTAAAAGTAGACAACAAAAAGTATACTGGACCTACTTGACGTTTGATACGTACTTAATATAATGGGAAATATTAGTTCAAATCCATTATTTTACTAATGTTATTTTTATTATTTTTTTTTACTGACTAAAGACGATAAGGACCAAATAACAACTAAACTGAATGACAAGGGGTATGTATTTAATGCCCTATTCACAGACTTGCATTGTTTGTATTTTTCTAATCAGTCATGTTTGTTATTTTCACCTTTTTCATTATTAGAAAGTTTTTGTTTAAAATGCTTGATCTAATTTGGAAAAAAAAGTATTAATGAAATGTCAAATTTTACCGGTGAATCTTTGTGAAACAATTTAAAGTTAAATACTAACCATTGAACTTTACTTCTTGTAAAAAAAATATTGTATTATTCATTGTATGGTTAGAAAACTTGCAGTCGTTTTCAACATGACAATTCAGCAAAATTGTGTTTAATTTGTTTTCCACATGTGTTTAAATTCCATTTGTAAGCCTTACTTAAAGAATAATGCTAAACCAATCTGTTATTTGATGGCTTTTTAAGATATCCCTTTCAAACTATGTTTTCAGTATTAAAAGACTTTAGCTCTAAAATATAATAGGTGTAACTGAGAGCTGATATCGGTCTTTCAATGCCGAGGCCATATTTAAAAAAGGATGTTGTCAAGATCTATTAAATAGCAAATTGGTGTAGCATTCCTCCTTGATTGATTTCACCCATTCTGTCAGGAGAAAGTTTTCCATTCTCTCGAGCTCAGACGAAATATTCATTCTTTTTTCAAAATGGACAATTTTTCTAACCTTTTTACTCTTCATAAAATTTAAAGCATTATACTAGCCAGAAAACACAAAAAATTACGTCACAGTCATGTTTTCAATTTATATAGTACCAATTTTTCTAACGTCTGTCAAATGTCAATTATAGCATCAACATTTTTTGTGTTTGATAAAATCATTGTCAAATTTATTTTTAAGGTAGTATGGGATACCTTCACGTCATGACGTATTTCCGTTTGAAGTATTGTTTTGATTTGCATGAGTGCTTATTATCGGGTCAAAATTTGTAGATACACCGTTGAAAAGAACACTCTGAAGCCTATTTCAATGCAAGTTCTCACAAGTCGGCATTTTAAGTAAAAACAGACAAAAAAATCGCAAGTATATAAATTTACTTATAATTGTACAACGGACATTTAAAAAAGCAAACCCCTGTAAAAGGTAGTTTCAACATTGCTGCTTTTGAACACTTTTAAGCAAAAGCTGTATTTCAATTGTTTGAGTAACTGTACAGCACCTTGTGTGCGGTGAGGCATGGATAAGTGCGATTACTTCACATTGTGCTGAATTATCACCAATCAATTATCACGTTAACCAGAGCTGGACTTTTTTGTTATTTAATTCAAGAAGTAACTGTTTGGTCACAAATCAGCTAGCTGTTGTATATAGTCCCAAAACGTTCAGATGAATGCAATTGCTCTGAACAAGACACGTCCTGGAAAGCGATTGTCCATGCATTGTTTTCAAAACCGCTCAAAGTTGAAAACTATAGAGTGCGATTTTTTTATGGTTGGGAAAAAATGCTCATCATTTCTAAAATAGCACCCAGGTTTTTTCAACCCTTGGAAAATAAAGAAGGATAACTCTTCCGCTCGGATCTTTTAATTCAAAAAATTTTAAATGCATTTTATATTTTCCATTTATATATATATTTTCAATTTGTTTATTTCACTTTGCTAACATATTAAGATACATTCTTATTGTAGACTTTCATGAAATGTTATCCGTCTGTTTTCAAGAAATAAAGTTTTCCCAGTTTTTTACGCTTATTTTTTGTTGAAAATTGAAAAAATACTAATACATATTTCTTGTCATTTTTGTTTTTATAAACACTTTATATTAGCAAACGCCTGCCTATAATATTAAGCTTATGAAAAAAGAATTATGCAAGAAAAAAAATCGTTTTTGTATTTCTCATTAAAATAATAAAAAAATTATTAAAATTACACTTTAATATACTGAAAGGTGGGGGTATTTCAAATCCTTCTAATTTGGGTACATAAATATGTAGGAGAAGTTTCGTTTGGTATCCCATACCACCTTAAAAGTCTCAGATTGGTCTTACGCTACACAAGGTTCAGTCAAACAGTGATCTTGTGTAGGAATTATATGGCAGAAGTATCCAAATATCCATTGTACTAAGGAGATACAGTGTACCCCTATCTTGAATGTACAAACATTGCTTGAAAATTGTCTAAATATTTCCGATGTAGTTTTCAAGAGTTATTTCTCTTATCGAATCAGTCGTAGTTTCCATGAACTCAACAAAAAAATCCTTCCATTCGATCATAAGAGGTAAAACTTTTTCATGCCATTAAGAAATGCAAGATTTTTTTTGAAATGAAAATACTTTTTTAGATTATATTTTTGGTTCAACCATTTCTTTTAAATTAATAGACTACCTTGAAAATTAAAAAGTTAAAATTACACGTATAGATAAAAAATATTCAAACAAACAGCTATGTATAACATGAAAACATATCCAATGCATCAATTATTGCATCATTTAATTTAATCTTTGAAATTTTATTCATGAAAATGACAATCATCTCCAAATTACATTAATATAATGTAAAAAAAAATTAAGAAAAGGAAAAAACATTTACGTTATAGAAATGAGTAAAGTGATATGTAAAGAATGATTCTGTGAAAACCTATATATTAAAACGTTTTACGGCATACTCACTTCCTCCGTAAAATTGTCATATAAACCAACACCCTAACAAGAATGAATAGAGAAAATGTTAACTTGTCAGAAAACATCTCAATCTGGGTATGAATACATCAAACGGGATCTTTTTAATCTCAGCGGGATTTATTGTGGAAAAATTTTCAGTGAATGTCCCATTTTTTAAATGTAATAAGATATCAAAAATTAGACGGAAAAATCACAGAGAGTATTGAAATAGGAGTTATATAATATTTAGATGGGAGGAAATCAATATGCCAAACTATGTTTACAATAGCAAGAAAAGTACAATTTTATATAAGCAACTCAAATTTCTTCCACATTTTTCAAAATATTATAGGACGTTTGGGATAATTTTTTCTTTTTTTTCTTGCTTTGAGCAGAAATTCTTCAGTTAGTGACATGACAAATATTCTTATGAAAACTGTAACATTAAACTAAAATGTTGAATTACTAGTATAATTGGCCTATATCCATAGCACCTAATCTCTGTTTTTAGAGGTCCGTGTCGGCTCTGCTCACAAATTGTTTTGCTAAAAGGAATTTTGAGCATGATCACTGATCGCTATCTTTGCATTTCATTTAAAGTTTATTTCATGAATGATATAATTTTTTCAGAGAAATAAAAGTTGATTCCAATTTTATCCAAATATGCAAATATCTTGATTTTTGATTCAATATCATGACTAGAATGTTTCCCCAACCTGCTAAAGTCCCTGATAGTATATATATATATATATCATTTAAAGTAATGAACACAGTAAGAAAGAGGTCCTTTAAGCACAGTTCACAATGTTAATTCTGCTGCCTAAAAATCGCATGATCCAATGCAATTATTATTATTTTTTCTCATCATTGTCATGGAAACAAGTGTTATTATCAACATCAACGTAAATGACCTCTGTATTCGTGTTGGGATTTGCTGTGCTGCTTTGCCGACTGAAACCCAGGGAACCTAAATTAAAGCCAGCAGGAAAACAAGACGTTGACGTTTTCTTCACAGATTTCTTCTTGACTGGAGTGAGGCTGGAACCTACAGAAAATATAAAGAAGTATAACAATACCAGCATACTTAGTACAGAGGATTGATTATTTGTAGTAAAGATTTCTACGAACTGAAATTTATACAATTTTTTTTCAACAAATGATGTTCTCTAGGTAAGAGATATTGCATTAAAGATAATGCCTGTTATTCATTTTTATGTATTTATTTAATTCATTGCTAAATGCAATGTAAATTTTTTAAGAAGATTTTATAACTTGTGTGAACATTGTATTCACTCTTAACCGTTTCTTAATTAATCACATAGAAGAAAAGGGACAAGATGTGCCATCAATTTGGTGCAATTTTCAATGATAACACATATGTGTGGCTATAGGCCTAGGGTAAATATGGTGTTTTTAATGCAGTAGCTTTCAACACACTTTATAATAAAATGCAGATGGGTTGCAAGTATAAGTACATGATATTATAATATTTCCTTTCACAAGCAATGTAAGAATTGATTCCCTTAGAAATATTAATATATACTTCATCATTGAACATTTTTAGTATACCCCCGGTAATATAAAGTTTTAAAATATAATTATATGTATTCAAAAAATATTAAATGTTGGAAACGACTAAAACATCTGTCATATTTTTGTAAGAGATCCACTATTTAATATTTTTTTAATACATAATACTATATTTACTTTATTTTATATCAGAAAAATGTTTATTAAACTTGAAAAATATAACATTTTACATGTTTCTAGAAAGACGCTAATAATCTCGTATGATACTTTGAATGCATATGAATTATAAATATGAAGTTGTACGTCCAAGAGGATGTCGGCTAAAAATAGTTCATCTTGTGGTTTTCCCTTAAAACCCCCTCATAAGTCCCTTTGACAGATATGCAGATAAATCTTGTCAAAGAAAACGTCACATTTTTAGTCTGTTTTACTTTTCAAAATTTGCCTCTTAAATCCCACATTGAAGAGATGCGAAAAAAATATTTCATTTTTAACCTGACCTTATGTTTATGCAGTCTCAGTCTCTATTCAAATTGGCAGCAATTGTAGTTTCCTTTCATATATGTTTATGAAATAACATATTGCACAAACTGTAGTATTACATCAGCTTGTAAATACATCATAATGAGACAGAATGACTGAAACACTGACTAATTAACCTTAAATGACCCGGCCATTTCATGGCAAGGGAATACATATACATGCCTCATTCAATATATTACTGCAATAATCCTCTCAATGAATAATTCACTATGGCTTATTATTTACCTATTATATCATCTAGCTCTGCTTCTGGGATACCTGCCAATACAGCTCTACTGCGTAATGATTCAATGCAGGTCTGTAAAAGGTGAAAGCATTTTCTCAATAACAAAGCATTTTATCCCTACAACTATTTGGTAGCACTGCACATGTACAAAAAAGCTGGAAAACCCTTGGAGACTTGACTACCTGGAGTGCCTTGTTGTCTGCTTTGGAAGTCTTCAGATCGTTGGCTACTTGTTTTTTCTGTTTATACAAAAGCTTCATCCTGAAGTGTTCGTGATCAATAACTGCTACCACCAAACCTAAGCAATGATATATATATAATAAGGTTAATATGATTATCATTGATTGTCTACAGAAAATGTATCATTTATTTAGTGTTCATTCAGAGTAGCATCACCTTCCGTCGTTTTCGTTTGATTAAAGAATCTTCATTTGTCTGCCATCAAATGTATGTCAAAATTAATTATAAGAAAAAATCTTTCTATTTCCTAACATCTGAGTTATAGTGATGATGTAGATCCTTAGAGGTTCGTCAAAATCAAATTAACCCACTTTCTAGAAAGTGTGTTGAAATATGGAGATAACGAACAGTATTCAAGCTCAAAGTTTAAGCTCAATATAATGACATGTCAAACGTTGTTTGTCTGCTAAATATACAGTGGAAAAATTGACTGACTGATTAATTGTATGTTGTTTTACGTCCCGTTAGAGAATTTTTCACTCATATAGAGACGTCACCACATAACGGTGAGGGGCTTCAAATTTAGACCTCTATACGGCACTCAGGGCCATTAATTAGTGAGGTTCTTTATCGTGCCAACGCCTACCGTGACACGGGATCTCGGTTTTTAAGGTAAAACATGTGGAGATAACGAACAGTATTCGAGCTCAAAAGTCCATTAAACATTACAAAATAGGAGCAGCGCAAAAACGGACTTCTAAGACATCAGAGGTGGGATCGGGTGCCATGGAGGAGTGAGCATCCCTTGCTGACCGGTCACACCCTCCGTATACTCCTTGTCATGATCGGGAAATAACGGAAAAATCCGTCGACAATTCAGTGTGTATATAATGGCCTAACGATTAGTATCTAACAATATGTAAGGTCTCATCTGAAAGACCAATTTTCACTTCAAAGTGCCGAGCAATCAGCGAAGGAGTAGTTGATGCCCCTTTTTTTATCGACTTAGGTCAGTCGCGGCCGTGATTCGAACACACGACCTTCCAATCACGGAGCGAGCGTTCTATCGACTGAGCTACCGTGACGGCAACAGGGGAAAGAAGAATCTTTATAAAGAATTCAAATCATTCTCGCTGAATTTCATAAATCATTTCAAAACTCCATTTATTCCGACATATGTTCTTCGAATACTAGTTTTGCAGATAATTTGAATACATCGACGAGCTTTTATTATTTCATTATCTGCAGACGGTATAATGTTTTCACCTCGTGATACAACAATACTTTAATGAAGCCTTTTGAGAGAAGTGTTCACCCATCAAAGGCATGTCAGACAGCATTTATTATTAATCAACAATCGATAGCTTTAAGAGAATCTTACACACCCCAGCCGGGCTCATAATGTGTGTTAGTTTTATATTTTAATTTTTGCTTCAAGTTTTACAACAAAGACGATTTTTTCCACAAAATTCAACAATGTTGTAACCATTAATCTAGTTATTTTAAATTCTTAAGATTTTTTTCCCGTTTTCTGAAATGCCTATTAAAAGTTATACACAGCAACGATTAAGAATAACATTCCCAAGCGTCTGTATGTTTGTCTGTCAATCGGTATGTCCCATCTTTATCTTTAAAGCCATTATATGATATTTTCCACATTCATTGCTTGACAAAAGAATTGTTGTAAAAAACCAGCAATGCTGACCTTGCGACCTTGATTTAATCTTTTACTTACTTTCCAAAATTATTCCATTACGTAAAAGTATACTCTATCTTTCCAAACTTAAGAGGAGTGGGCCATGCTATTTGGCAGGGCAATGCTTATCGAAGTCACTTTAAAAAAAGTTGGTGACATTGTGACCTTAAACCATTTTTAAAAAAAATTAATCTCATATCACATTTTAAAAGTTCTTTCAGAACCTTGACTAAATGTAATATTTCAAAGGTCAAAGGTAACGGGCAATTGGGAATTGATTTGTTGAAAGTGTGTTAAAGTCAGAACTTTGACATCCCTGGCTAGAATAAACTCAGAATTTAGGTACATGTATTGTTGTCCATGACCTATAATGTCTAGTGATCGTTGTCCAAGGCAATATATAAAACTTGATTATCATGTTTCCTTTAACCCAAGGATACAGAGTCATCTTCTTAAAGCTAATTAGTATGGTAAATTTCAACTAGACAAAGATGTTGAAAATATTTCCAGTTTTAACACATAGAACTCTTAATAGGAATGGATTCAGTCTTCAGTATATTATTTTTATAACTAAAAGTTTTTTTTATTCGATTTAGTGAACATATGAATTTTTTGAATTAACTATTGACCATACAATGTTCTAAACTACTGTTGACCATACAATGTTTTGTACTACTGTTGACCATACAATGTTTTGTACTACTGCTGACCATACAATGTTTTGTACTACTGTTGACCATACAATGTTTTTACTTACTGTTGACCATACAATGTTTTACTTACTGTTGACCATACAATGTTTTGTACTACTGTTGATGATACAATGTTTTTTCTTACTATTGACCACAAGATCTTTCTACTTACTATTGACTACTCTTATGACTCTCCACGGCACAAGAAATGCCAAAATAACCACAAATTTCTGAGTTTTGTAGGCACTTAGTCCTCTTATAAAAACTAGGTCAACCACAAAGGAGGCCACAACGATGATACCATCGAAGACCTATAAATAGATTATTGTTACGTCATCTGTTAGATATTCACTGCATTTTGCGATTGGACAAGATTATGGTTTCTGCAACAAACAACCAAACCATAATCGTACTCCAAAGTTTATGATAAGAGATGGTTACATCATTTTTTTTTCAAATAAAGCAGAAAGACTTCATGGATAAATGGTCATTACCTCTAACTTCTTTTCGAAATATTCTTTTCCACCACATATCAATTTTAAAACATTCTGAAACAAAATTCAAATATTTGATGAAATGTTTGTCTGCATTCGGTATGAAAATTAATCTTAACATATATATATTCCATTTTCTTTTAATATTTTAAACAAATGGTGGTTCTTTCTTAAAACTGTGTCATAAAAAATTAACTTGGATTTAAAGTATCGTTACCTCCACAACCAATATGGCAAGAATGGAAATGCTGCAATAATGTAATTTGTGAGCTAGAATCACTTCTATACTTTGTGAATGATCATCGTGTTGAATTTCTGCATGACTCTTATTGCTAAAGTTCCACAGATTAGCGCTGACATTTGATGACCATACTTCGGATGAGTTGTTAATGAAATATTCAGAATACACGTCAGCTCCCCTAAGGGAACGTTTGTCCAGTTTTGGTTGTTGTTGATAATTAGTTTCATTATGCTGTGAACCCACAGAAGAAGTGAATGCTAAAGAACTGTAGGGTGCTGAAATTTCCGATGTAAAATCCACTCGAGACGACAGAATCATTGAATGTAAAACGTTGATATCTGTTTCATAAAGGTCGTGTAAATCCTCTGGATATGTTGATTTCATTGTTTTGACAAAATATGAATTAGCCATTTCTTCATGGTCAAGAACTCCTGGATAAAAAAGTGTTTTTGAGTACATCATAGAAGCATAATCTGTAGCTTTAATGATCGATACAATACAGAAATATTACATTGTTAGGCGTACACTTTTAATAACAATTTTCAACAACGGCCACGTGATCAAAATATACGTGAGTTCCGAATTGCAAAACTGCATGTAGTAGATATATACATAAATTGAAATTGTGAAAAGTAAAACCTGTATATTCGAGAGTAAACATTATTATTGCTGTTTCTGAAATTTCTTTTCCATCGTATTATTAAAGACACTATGTGTTTGTAAAGTTTGGCTTAATGTGAGTATTTAAAAATAAATAAATTTAGCTGCTACTGTCTACAGGTTAAAATGAGGGGAAAATACTTACTCTTGAGGTAGAATATATCCAATATGAGTTCCCCAAGCACAAGGACACAATCAATTACATTTAATACGACTATACACATCAACACTTGTTTTGTATGCATTAAATTATATCCCAAAAATCGTGACCTAAAAAACAAATGAGAGAACATCACATATCTTAATCATATATGTAACAGCGATCAAATGTTTCAGAATTTAATTTTATGAGTCCTCTGAATAAAATGAAGACGCATCAGACGAGTTTATTTATTTCGAAAGAGGAATCAAACTTCTAAACAACATGTAGTCTTAAATAGGATAACTAATATCTGACCTGCCAATACATGTAGATGGCGGTTTTCGATTTTCCCTTTCTATTTCATGTTCTAAACTCTTCTCTGTTTTGTCCAGTTCGGCATGAGCTTTTGCCAGAGCTAATACACCTGAAGCCAGTGCCTAAAGCATACAATTATAGACACTGCAGAGGCTAAGTCCACAACTGGGGCTATATCTTAAGATATTTGTACAGAAACGCTAGAACTATGAAAATAGATTCTTAAATGTTGTTTTATTTTCTTTTTATTTGGAGAAATTAATAAATATTTATTACTCATTCCATGTTAACATGTATTTTTTTTTAAATCTATAATATACATTTATCTTTAAGAAAAATCTACTAAGACCTGAACTTGCATCAGATACTTGTAGCTAATTGAAATAAATAATTATTTTATTCTGGAAGACCAACCTTTAAGCCTGTAAATTCCTGTCTCCTTTTCCTTTTTTGAGATAAAATCCCCATGTTGTTTAAGTCGGAGTTCTACAAGAAAGATAAACTTTGTGATTAATCCATATTTTATTCATTTCCTGATGTCGCAGCTATTTGATTACAAGAACCACGTGGTTACTATAAACTCCAATTAGCAAGTAGAAAGAGCAAGAGAAATTTGCTCTTGTAATCGTTGTTAATTTGTCTTGGAAAATATTTGAATAATTCGCTGTAATATGAAAATTTATTGTTATGTACATGTAGCTATTTAGATACATATCTCAATTAATTTGCAAATCCTGAATTCAGATGATATTCCAGATCTCTATATTGTTTTTCTGTCGAACTTAATTACACAAAAACAGTGACGAAAAGGTATACTCAATACAACAATTGCCATATGGAATGGAGATGAGATCGTTTGTTGTAACATACTTATTGCATTATGTAGTTCGTGTGAATTGGGACTTTGGCATTATATAAACATCTGTGGCTGGGTAAGATAAAAGTACAAAAGCTGCATCTTGTTTCATTTGTTTGATTGAACATTTAAGTACGTACATTTATCACTTATTGCCAATGCTTCAAAACTTTAAAATGACTCAGGCTGAACTGAAGAAACTGAAGTCAACTGAAGAAAATAATCGCTGTGGTTTTAATGTTGTGAAAAGGTATGATTGATTGCCTAAGTAAGTAATGAAATGATACAATTTACTTTGGAAGAAATTCTTGGAAAAAACAATTCATGATATTATTCTAACAAAATAAAACAGTCATCAACTTACATAACTAGGACAATTTTGGTGGCTCAAAAAGTCAAAATTTTACATCATCATTCGTGAAATACATAATTTTTAATGTTTAACTCAAGCGTAAGAATTAAATTCCTGAACATATTGAAAGATAAAGGACAACTTCTTAATATACATTTCATGACCTAACGTCACAGGTACTTTAATTTTCACACGATCTTTTTGGTTTGTTTGTTTAATTGTTTGTTTGTTTTTCCTAAAGATTTTGTACCAGTGACTTTCTTTCAAAGGCAATGTCCTTCCAAAACGTGTATCTTGATACGACCGTTTATTTCATGGGGGTACATTCATAAGAATTTTTCCCAAATATGCTCAGTAAATGTAAAAAAAAATTGATTGAAAAGTTATATAATTTTTTTTGCAATCATTTTGAAATTCCATATCTCGATTTCTTCATTTTGAATCATATTACTGCATCTCATATATTATACATAAAGTATAAAATGCACTGAATTCCTCACAAAAAAGTTTTCAAACTAAAAAATTAAATGACTGTGAATTTACTGCAAAAAGTATTCTTACCGTCTAACGTATCAGCTCCCCTTGCATAAAAGGTAAATGACACTAATTTCACATGCTATGTTGAAATTTCGTACAAAAAACGTTAGGTTTGGCATTGATTAAAGTGTGAGGTGTGAAATGGACTAGTTGCTCACATATTAATGTATATTAAAATTTAACAGAACTCTGTTTTAAATTTAAAATATAAACCAAAAAAATGATTTACGTTTCCTGGAAAAATGCAATTAAAGAGGCAATATTTAGGCAGGGCAATGTTTTATGAGACATAAGACTTCAGAGAGTTTCAATAAATTATTAATATTAAGTTTGTTAATTTTTTCCTACAACTCTGTTGTAAAACCTTAATGCAATACGGTGTCTGTTACATGTAAGTCCTGAAAATTTAATCAAAAAAGTCACGCTAATAGTAAAGTGTAAAAAAAAAAAAAACTGAAAGCAAATTTTTTGGTACAATAATATCATGTTTCACTATCATAGTTAAAACCATCACAAATTATTGGGACCATCTTTTTAACAGAATTCTGTTTACATTTTTTTTTCATTCATTCCGAAATTTTCTCATCATGAACAGGGCAAAAACAAGGACCCTTGGAAAAACAAGGGGTGGGATCAGATGCCTAGGGGTAGTAAACATCCCCTATCACACCGGCCGTGAGTTCTATATATCGATTAGGTAGACGGAGGACTCTGTAGTCAAATTTAGTATAAAAACAATGACTTAATAAATGGTATGAAACATGTCAGACAAAATACAACCCAAATACATGTTGTAATTACAAATAAGGCCATGGTAACGACTGTAGAATTTGCGAAAAGCTGGCTTTACACTGGGTTGTTGAAATCCTTGTAACATCACCTTGTTTGTCAGTAGTTTGCCTAGGTTTAAAAATTGATCGTATTCAGAACATACTCGCGTATCGAATCAGATGGGAGACATAAAAGCCATATGCAGGTGATGTTGGAATAGTCAGGATAAATATAGAAAGTTGCCGATGGAAAAGCTGAAACCATCCCGTTTGTCAAACAGTTTAGTTGTTAGCTGGCCATTATCGTCTTTTGTCAGTAAAGCATCCAAATATGAAACAGACAGACTCTGAAGTGTCTTTCAATTCGAGTTCACTAGGATATATCGAATCGACATATGTATGAAAGTAACGATTGTTAATTTATTATATATATATATATATATATATATATATATATATATATATATATATATATATATATATATATATATATATATATATATATATATATATATACAGTATCTAACTATTGAGTTTTAAAGCCAAAGCAAGAGTTTCGTTCTTCTCATGAAGAAATTTTCGGGAAAAAAAACAGGTCGACTAATAAAGGTGCGCAATTCGTGTTCATTGGAATTCTAAAAGATTGTTGGAAGACCTGATCTCCAAAGACTACGTAGTTATTATCAATGAGGTTCCCCAGCATCTTTTTATATCAACCTCAGAGTACTTGAATATAGAATCAGAATGATTTTAATAAAGTGATTTTGTAGATAACCAACTACAAGATATGCTAATTTACGAGTTCCACTTTTATTGGAATAAGTTATCTATGATGTCAAAGAGCCTGCTCTTAAATTTAACGTGATGAATGATTGTATAAAGCTTAGGAAAGTCATATGTTTTGATGCTATCTATGTTTAAAAAGTTTGAGATATTAAATGCTACAAAACATTTTTTTTTTAAATACACATTTGATTTACACCACTTCTTGAATATTGAACAATAAGTCTGAAGTTTCTCCTTCGCAGCAGTTATTGATTTGATAAGGAGTAATGATACGGGCTTTATGAATATTTACTGGACCCTGCAATATATTTTTGTTTGTAAGGATACTTATTCTTAAAGATTAGTAATGGTGTGTTTTCATTTGTAATGCCTAAACGTTAAGTTAAACAATGTCTGTTTAATCTTATGGGTTTTCTTTAGGATTATTGTTATAGAATTTTTCGTATATGCAGGATGTAAATTTGAATTTTTATGAGGAGGAGAGAAAAATTAGGCATAAAAATAAACTTGTCACCTTTTACTTTTAGATTTGAATAAATAATAGATCTCCACGACACTACAATTACGTGGACTGCATGTTCAGTTTACGAATCTTCTATTTAAAAAGGCACCGGGGAAAATGATAACATGTGAAACTGTAATACTAAGCAAAAATTATTCTCTAGCAAATTCGATATAGGTCAAGGTCAAAAGCTTACATGCGTCATTATTACATAATTCGAAATTCGCTTTCTCAGCATAAAAATTGAAATAAAATAATATTTGCATCATGAAACCATAAAAAATAAAAATGCTTCTTGAAATCATTGCTAGAAGTAGACCACAAATTTATATTTTCACGTTGTGTATTTAAACATTTTTGTCGATGATGAATAGAATAATCAAGGTTGAACTAAAAAAAATAGCATTGATTGAATTTGGATATGCTGAAAGTACTGAAGCTTTTTTTTTTTTTTTTTTTTTTTTGGAGACCTTGTGTTTAATGTTGACTGTTTGTTGGATATTTGAGAGTCTGAGACTTGCTTTGCTTATGCTGTGAATTCAAAATTATATCTTCGGTGCTGATGCTGGTTTATGTTACCAATTAATTTTTGTGATGTAATGCCTCGTGTAGGTTGGTGGACTGGTACTTATGTAAAATCATAAGTGAATCAAGTGCAAATTAGTGGCGGATCTACTGATTTGACGTCAATTAATTAACATTTCTATGATACAATTGTATATTTTAAGGCCATGTTTCATCTTGAACAAAACCCATGTCATATAAATTGCATAATCAAACAAAAGGAGAATTTGTGAATTATATAAAAAAGTATACATGATTTTATAAAGCATTTGAGATACAAATCATTGATATGTTCACATGGTTAAACATGTGATAAGAATGTCAACGGTACTCTATAGAGATAATTATGAAAGCATCTACATGTAGAAAATAAGCAGCTATTAATTTCACTTTCTTTAACCAGATTTGCCCTGAGTGACAGATTAGTAATTTAATGCAACAGACACATATTATACAAGCTTAAGAGATTTAAAAACACGACGTTAATAAAATAATTTTTTCAAAGTTCACCCAATATTACACTCTTTCTACTTCGGGTTGGGATATCCATTAATAACTTAAAAATATTATTATTTTATTATTCTCCCAGGGTTGGCTTTTAGTTGAAAATAAGGCCAGTTTTATTATGTATTATAATAAGTATGACTTCATTAAGTTGGTAAAAGCGAATTATTCTCTGGACAAATTTATATCAAATATGTGACAGAAAGTTCCAAAATATTTTATTTAGATGGTGTAACGTTGACGCCTACGTTTTTTATGTACATGTAATACTATGTATCGTTATAAATCAACGAAATAAATATAAATCGACCAAGAAATGTCACCAAACCCCTATCAATTAGAACTTTGGAGTTCCAAAGTATGATGACGGAAGCCAAAGTCTTCATATCACAAAGTCGATCTAGTAATATATGATTAAACACTAAGCCTTTATGAGTTTCCAAAATACAAAACTGCACAATTTCATTGGAATCGATTTTCACAAACAATTTCATGGGCACATTTAAAGCATTGCAGAATTTAATACAAAAACTCGAGTGGGAAAAAGAAATAACCGCTAAGCTTCAGATGAATTCTAAAATCAATTAACTTATTTATAACGTCTATCAAAAA